ATCTCTGCGCGTTCGGGATTTCCCGTCAAAAAATAAATTAAATTAAATTCCCAACAATGGTCTCGAGATAGTTTTAATTGTTATGCACCCTGTTTACAAACAAAATCTTATTATATATAGTAATATACTAGTGATTGCTTGGTAATCATTGATTACTAATCAATTTATAAGCTTATGGTTATATCAGTTTCATTTCAACATTAACAAATTAATGATTCATCATTATATGCTATAAGTTATAATGTATATCTATTTCTATAGTTTTAGTTTGTAGTGTTTTATAGTTATTGCATAACAGTAAAAGTATTATCTAATCAACATGGTAATTAAACGATTGCAACGGTTCTGCAGTGTTGGTGCAATACGTGAAACATTTTGAATGTTACCTTTTCGTCGCAGATGAGTCCAGTGAAGTCTTGAGGGCATTGGCAATAATAGCCATCCCTGTTGTCGTTGATATGACAGGTGCCGCCATTGCGACACAGGTTGGGAATACTGCAGTCACTGATGGCATCACAATAGGCGTGATTGGAATGATGGTTAGGAAGACAGGCGCAGATGTCTTCGTTCACACAATGCGAGAAGTCTTTGTGACACTCGGAATGACACGAACGGATGTTATGACACTTCCCGCCCGTGAAACCGATCGGACACTTGCACTGATATGTCTCGTTCGTGATCTTTATGCCTGATATATGGATAACAGTTAAGTACAACATATGAATAGAAAACCATTAGAAAATGTTTGCTTCGCTTACAAGTGGCCCCGTTTTCGCACGGATTCAGTACACATGGATCGGTCATGTATTGACATATTTTGCCTATAAATTAACGTTTCAATTACATTCAATTATAGGCCATGAAATGGTGGCGAATATACCGTCAAATCCGGTCAAACAAAGACAGGAATAGGAGTTGATTTCGTCAATACAGGTGCCGTTATTCATACAGGAATGGTGTTCGCAGTCATTGATGTTGAGCTCGCAGTTGACGCCTTCGAAACCCGACGGACACTGACATAAATATCCGGCCATTTGCGAGAAATTCAAGTATTGATCGCGAATAAGGCTTTCGGAGAACTTATTGATTAAGTGCTGATGACTTTTCTCAAAACACGTGCCGCCGTTCAGACACGGAGAAGAACTGCATTCGTCGATATCGATCTCACAGTGTCTTCCAGTGAATCCCTTAAAGCAATGACACGTATAGTTGAGGACAATGTCTTCGCACATTTTGGCCCCTTTACTGCACGGATCGCTCAGACATTCGTTGATATTTGTCTCGCAATTCCTGCCCTCAAAGCCCGTGTGATTACAATTGCATTCGTAATCATTGATCAAATCAACGCATTGGCCGCCATTCAGGCATGGATTGGTTGAACACTCGTTGATATCAATTTCACATTTGTTTCCTTCAAAACCGGGCACACATTGGCAGCGGAATGACCCGATTTGGTCCACACAAGTGGCACCGTTTTTACATGGATCTGAAAGGCACTCGTTTATGTCATTCTGACAATTACTACCGTTGAAACCGTGCGGACATTCGCAGGAAAAGTGTGCGATTAGATTATGACATTTGCCGCCATTAAGACACGGCTGTGGAGTGCACTCATCGATATCGTTGTCACAGCGTTGGCCTTCAAACCCTTGCGAACAATTGCATTGAAAGCCGCCGATCATGTCGTGACAAATGGCGCCGTTTTCGCATGGATTGGATAAGCACTCATTGATGTCGATCTGGCACTGATCACCGCTATATCCGGCGCGACAGTCGCACGAGAATTTGGCCACGAGGTTATTACATGTGCCACCGTTAAGGCACGGGTGGGAAAGGCACTCATCGATGTCTATGTGACACCGATGGCCAGTGAATCCGGGGGTACAGTAGCACTGGTAGTCACCGACCAAATCCTTGCAAATGCCATTAACGCATGGATTAGCGGCGCATTCATCGATATTTGTCTCGCAATTAACACCTGTATATCCGGTCTCACAGATACAGGAATATGTCTTTGTAATGGACGTGCAGTTACTATTGTGTTGGCATGGATTGGGTGCGCAATGATCTATGTTTCGCTCGCAGTTGTCTCCCTCCCAGCCCTCGGGACAAACGCACTCATAATTGTTAAGTTTGTCGATACAGATGTGTCCAATCGGACAAACAACTTGAGCGCATTCATCGATGTTTACCTCACAATTGAGACCTTAATTGATTCAAATGAAATCAATTAAAGTATTGCATTAAACGGGGAAATGAATGACAAGACAGCCATACCTGTGAAACCTGGCGGACAAGTGCACGCATAGAGTGGCGACGGTCTCTGTGTAGTACACGTGCCGTTATTAGCGCACGGACTGCTTTCGCACGCGTCATACAATAGCTCACACGTGAGACCCGCGTATTGCGAGGGACAGATGCACGTGAAGTTGTTGGGCAGGTCATGACATGTGCCTCCATTAGCGCATGGATTAGTTGGCATACAGTCGTTGACATCCACTTCACAGTTAGCGCCTATAAACAGTTGTACAGTATTTTAGTATTAATTCTTGTCAACAGGTGTTTGGCAGACAATACCTTCAAAGCCTTCGGAACAAATACAAGTATAGTTGGTTGACGTGTCGTTCATAAGACATGTCCCGCCATTAAGACACGGCTGGGAATCGCAAAGAGATTCTTCAAATTGACAATAATTGCCAGAAAAGCCTACAAAATAGACGAATACATCAATTGTATTGTTTTGTGATTTTATTTCTCAAATACCGTTAACACAAATGCACACTCCGTTCAAACACTGGCCTCCATTCAGACAATCGTTATTATGTTTGCAATTATTGTCAAAGAGTTGACAATTGATTCCATGAAAGCCTTCAACACATTCGCAGAAGAAGCCAATACTGTCGTTACCGGTACTTCCAGATGGCAATGGATGACACAATCCATTATTAAGACACGGACTCGAATCACAGCCACTCAATGGTTGACAATGGGGTGGAACTCCTGTAATAGTCATACACATCATGTTTGAGTACTAATAGATCCCACAAGTGGTCGATAAGTGATAATTACCAGAAAATAGATGATCGCAAACACATGTGAGCAGTGAATTGCAGTGGGAATGTATGGGACAGTCCTTGTCGTTGTGACAGACAGTCGGTCTCTCATGTGATGGACTTATTGTGACAAATGATGGCAAAGAAGTTAACAATACTGTTCTCGGAGTGGCAATACTGGCCGCAGTCAACACCAACCCAACCGTCGGATCAACTCTCGGACTCCTCGTGCTTTCAGTCAAGACATTTGTTACCCAATTATTTGTCACATTCAATGGTTTGGATGATTGGGTTTGGGTTTGGGTTTGGGTTAAGGCAACCCTAAGGACGGCATTTAATATCACAATTGTGTAAATGTATTGCATTTCTATACAAATACTGTTAATTATATCATAATTATATCAAAACTACTGT